AAAGAGTGTGTGTGAGTGTGTGTTGTTCTTCACTGTATCTGTGAGAAGTTGGTGTCAAACGAAACATCTGATAAGCTCCACTGTGTGAGACAAACGGTGCTGGACCGCAGGAGCGGAGTGGACCGCAGTCAAATCTTTATATGGCAACGGAGTTAAGTGAGATGAAGCCGCGTGAGAAGAATGTTAACTTGTCGACTGCTGTGATCTCAACTGTGAGCTGTTTATCTGTAGCCAGCACGCTGAGGTGGCACTCAGTGAAAGAGAAACATATCTGTGTCTGTGTGTCTCAGTGTGTGTGTGTGTGTGTGTGTTAAGTCAGGACAGTCTCGATCAGTGATCACTTCTGTGTTTTTACAGACAGTAGAGGAAACTGTTGACTCACGGTGCCGTGTGAGATGGTCAGGTATCCGTTCTTCGCCGTGCACTTTCTCTTCTGCCAGACTTTCCTCAACCTGAAAACACAGCAGCAGAATCAGCTGATCACGTTCACAGCGGCTCCACAGCGACTAAGACTTGATAATATATTCAAAAAAAAAAATCATGTTATTGAATGTTTGGTTTTTACTGATAAAACATGGATTTTATTTTCATTGTATAATACAAATAATGAAGCGCTAACGCTACAGTAGTTAGCAAAAGTCTGTTAGCTGCCACACGTTTTACTCTTAAAAGAGGCTTGAGTTTTTAAAAGTTCAATTCTCGTCTCCTAGAACAAATGCATTGAGTAGATGAAAGCTAACAAATGTCTTATATTATAAAGTAATAATACATTTTAACATACGGTATATTTTCCTGTACTTGTTTGGTCACAGCAATTGCCTTGAGGTTCACACAAAATTATTAAACATTAAAAATGTAGAAAAGTTTCATAGCCAGTTTAATACAAATATAAATGTTTTACTACCTAGTAGTACTACAATTTACCGTATTTACCGTAGTACTACTACACTAGCAGTAGTCGTAGTGAGAACAAATCAATATCAATATAAATATAATTGCTTCCTTACATATATAATAATCAAATGATTCAAAAAATGTTTTTAGTCAAACACAAATCTTTTAATTTTAATTTTCTTTCACATTATGTGTTTCCTTTCAAAGACCTTCATGTCAGTGTCAGTGCAGATAACTCACCCGTCGCTCTTCTTGTACAGATACCCACTGCGCTCTGTGCCGTGCTCCTTGTTGCCCTGTGGCTGGTGCAGACTGTAGGTGGTGCTCTGCCGCACCTGTGATTCCTGGGGGGAAAGACAGACGAACGGAGAGCCAACACGTTTTATTGTGATTAAACTGTTAAATAATATAAATAATACACTTGACTTCACAGATGGGAGGCAGCAGAGTGTCAAATGGATGGTTTCTGATCGGCTTCTCCTGAGTCAAATGACTATATTTGTCAGAGGGACAGAATCTTCCTGGACAAGACACCTTGGGGGCCGGACAATCAAATAAAATGAAATTTAAAAAAATAATAATTAAAAAAAAAAATTTATCTAACATTTGGAATCCAGTCGTGGGCTGGACTGGATGATATAGTGGGCAGGATTTGGCCCGCGGGCCGCCACGCATGGCATTAAGTACAACTACAGCAGCCGGTTTGACCTACAAAAATGCCTAATGGTTGGTTAGAGAATGTAAAATGATTTATTAAGTAATTAATCGATCATTTTGTAATTAATCGATTCATTAGAAAATTTATCAATTTATAGTATGTTTTGAAATGACGCTAAAAATTTGGCTTATACTTTTCAATCTCATAATTAGGAGTTAGATCAATTAATCACGATTAAACACGATTAATGCAATGATTCTCTAAGCTTGTGATGGGTCAGGTTTAAACGTACACTTTGATGGCCGTGATCATAGCATAATGCTGTAGATGAATGGAACAGAGGCAGCACCACAACTGACGTAAACACAGGACGTAAACAGCTGTGGAAATCACTTACTCTCCTAGCCTTGTTTCACAAAAGACGGAGGCAGCAGGAGAGAGAAGAAACAGATGGATAAAACAGCGCAACAAACAGGTCCACGGGCAAAAGTACAGATCTCTTCAAGTCATCGTGAGAAATACTGACAGCGACGCATTTGAAAGAGAAAAGGCCCGATGACAGGTTGAATATATTTTTACAGGAGGATTTAGTTCAGCCTGCTTTCACGAAGATATATTTTTACAGGAGGATTTAGTTCACCCTGCTTTCACGAAGATAACTCCTTACTAGTAACATGAAAAAAAAATTCTGACGATTCCACTAAAAGTGTCGACTAACAACCAGTTCCACAAGTGTTATTTTTAATGGCTCTTTCCAGCAGATATTAACGGCGGGAGTGTGTTACCTCCTTCTGCTCCACCTGTAGCGAAGACTTGAGGACGTCCCGTAACTGCGTCAGCTGCTTCCTCTCCTCGTCCTGCACCTGCTTTATCTGACGCAACAGGCAAAAACAGTAAAACACATCGAAAAAACATTTGAATAAAGTCAAAAAGGAACACATGGGAAGAAACAAGTGAGAGCTGCTGATGTTCTCACCGTGTGCAGATCTGTGGCCAGTTTCTCAATGGAAGGCTTCAGGTTGTCCACAGCCTTCAGGCCGTCCTGGAAGAAACTGACAGAGCAGCGATATTTAAATGAATCGTCCTGATTTAAAATATTTTTTTATTTCAGATTTAGGAGTTGGAAAACGTAGGTCTTACTTGCACTGAGCGTGGAAGTACTTGATGAGGTTCTGCAGCAGGTCCACGCCCTTCTTGATTTTGATCTCGTTCACTTTGAGGAGATACTGTGAAAATTTAAAAACAAAAAAAAACCCAGACCAGTCAGGTTATCTTTTCAGAGTTCGGGCTCACTAACAAAATACACACTATATTTGTGTTCTCGGTCCACAACGTTCTCGACCGATGACATTAGGTTGTCGTATCCCTATGTAATTTATCAAGAAACTCTTTGACACATCGAGGAAGACAGTTCAGTTCAGTTCAGTTCACGTCCACCGGTGGTGCTCATCAGACCAGATCAAGAAAGAATTCAACAGAACACTTTCTGTGTGGTCTTCACTGCTGTTCGCCGCACAGCTTACATTTTCCTTCATATTCTGAACAGTGCTTAATTTGTATCGTGGGAGGTTCCGGAAGGCTGAGAACGGGAGGTTCTGGCGACTGTTATATTTTTTTTTGTTGGAGCTCAAATGAAAGCCTGATTTTGCGATATGTAATTGTAGGACCCCGTGTATTTTATGTATTCATTTATTTTTCTTGTCTGTTGCGTTAACAGCAATCACTTTTTATTTCTTAGGATAGCATCAAATTAAAGTGTTTAACTCACCAATTTCGTTTATTTTTCATGACTAGTTTGCTTAAGACAGTGGTTCTCAATTATTTCCTGTCATGGCCCCGCATGGGTACAGAAATATTTTCACACCCCCCCGAACTCCCAACCCCCCCCACACCCCGCCCCCCTCTCTTGGCGAATTGAAATACTATTGAGAACCTGATAACATGTATATTTTTACCTGTACAAACCACTGTATGATTTGCTGCCACCTAGTGACTGGAGGCTTGTTATCATTCAAGCATCACAGCAGTGGTACACTCACGCCCCCCTCTGGCACCTCACCATGCCCCCTCAGGGGGACCCGCCCCACTGTTTGAGAAGTACTGGCTTAATAGAAACACGTTTCCAGCCTCACTGACCTCACACATTTGCAGCTGAAAGAATCTCCTCTCCTTCTCCATCTCTTCTGCAATTTCCGCTCCACTAATTTCCGTCCTGATCATCCCGTGCTGCCTCGCGTGCTCCTTCTTCTCCTTCTCTATTTTGGTGCTGCAAGGAAACGACATCATGGTGGTTATAAACCCGAAAAACAAGCATCCACCCGTGAGACTTCCATTAACACAACACGTGGGATTTGTGTCAAATCAGCCCTGTTTGTTCACCACCAGGTCAGGAAGTGGAGCTGTAGATCAGCTGATCATGAAAGGCTGAAAGAGTGACGCCTCTGTTTTAGACTGTTTATATTATGTGTGTGCTGACAGTTATTCCTCAGGGCCGACTGTACACAAAGACCATTCACTGAATATAAAACATCTCACACAGACAAACAGAAAAAACACACAGAGGAGAGGAGCTACAGTCCATGCAGAAGGGCAATCCATGTTTTATATGCTGCCTACGCTGTCTGACAGCATATCACCTGCAAAACCATGAAACGGTTCTGTTCTCCCCCAGAAAGACAGAACACAGTGATGAGAATATGTTTCATGAGCCCTTCAGCCTGGTTCAGGTCTGAACTGACTCAGTCTCGGAGGTTTTACTACCACTGAGTCAGAGCTTAGAGATTCTGGAGTAAAACTGTAGGACAGGTTTAAGGTGGAACTCGTTTCACACATGACACTAGACGTTCAGCTTGCTAACAGCAAATCAAGATATTGTCACTATGCCTTCTAATTGGGGAAGTCCAATATTAACTTTTTGTCGATATCCGTTATTGTCCAAATTTCCGATACCGATATATATTGGCCTGGTAATATGTATTTATTTATCTGTTCAAACCACTGTATGAGTATGACATTAAATAAATTAGCTGCAATGCTGCCATCTAGTGACTTTCACTTTAATATACAGCTGTTTATCCCCAAAACTATTTTTAGGGCCCAGGTCATTTAGCGTAACCCAGGCATTGCGTTATCGGGTTTTCATTATTGGAGGAAAAAAACGATAACAATTTCTACGGATATAACATAATACACTAATATCGAGTCGCTTAAAGAGCGTACTAAATACTAAAAATGTAGTAAATGCTGTTGTGTTTTATTGATCATAACCTGTAGGTTAAAACTTTGAATTTTGTTTTTCCTTTGATAATTAACGTTTAACGAAACGAGCCACACATTTTTAACCAAGAAAAAAAATCACCTCTAATCAACAGCAAGATTAATTCGATATCGTCAACTTTGGTCATAAAATTTGAGGCCATGACTGAGTGATGAATTTCACACTGACGACCTGTGTCGGTGCATAAATCGTCAGCATTGACGGTATTACAGCTTTGTCAGGGCAGCAGCAGCTGACAGAGAGACACATGTGAAACCAGGCTGATGGGCTGCCCTGCCCACTCACAGCTGCTCGACCGACTAATGAAGAGGAGGAGGCTCTGGATCCACTCACTTTCAGTCCTGTCACTTTCAGAAGTGATGAATCAAAGGTAAATCAGCGTAAAATAGTCTTTATTAACGACAGAGAGTCTATAGTTTATGACGTATAATTAAAAAATAACTCCACCTTGTTTGAATTCACAGCACTTAAAGTGAGATGACCTCCATTAAAAGGGTTAAAAACCAGATGTCAAACTTGTGTTTTGGATGCAAAAAAAAAAAAAAAAATTAAGATATTTTTAAACCAAATGATTTTATCTTTCAGTCTCTTTTCACACTGCAGGCAGCAGAACGATCAGTAACAACCAGAGGATTACTGATCAAACCAAGCAGTTTCAGAAGGTTTTTTTTTTTTTTTCAATAATAGCAGACAAGTGACTCTATTGATGGCTTGACTTTGGCATCAATGGAGTGAAATTAAAAGAATAATTCAGGCCAGAGAAGAACAGTCATGGCTGGATTTCTGGACGTCAGTACAAAGTCTGTACCGTCCAATCAGAACAGTCTGGAGAGACGATGAATTACCCTTTCAGTAAAGAATGTCCTTTGCAGCTTGTAAGATACATGAAAGTGCTATAAAACAGGGCCATGTGTTCCCAGCATGCACAGTAACCATGGAGGAGTGGGTGTGGAGGTGACAGTGTGGGCTGGTTATTCACGTTAGCAGAATATCACAGGTAGAGGGTTAGAGGAGGAGTTAGTCAGGACACGGGAGAGACGCAGAGACATGACATCAAACACACATTTCTATTTCAACATGGTTCATTTCATAGAGTCATATTCAGTCACTGTGTTCAACCATGGAGCTGTTAAATCAAGTAGATAAAGGGCGCTTTCTTACACTTTTGTCTCATAGTCTTTCCAGGCTTTGTCGAAAGGCTTCTTCAGATCCTGCGGGGAAAAAAACACACAAGAATAGGAAAAGAATTGACAGTTATAGATCTGAAATCATGGAACTGAACAGTTCACAGACTGGCAGAGAGTGAGAGCAAAGAAGTTAAGTTCAATTTCAAACTATCTGGAACATCTGGACGAAAACTGTGCCAAATTTAACTTTTTTAAAAAAAAAACATTTTCCACCTATATGGTCCGTTTCATTACCATGATATTAGCCAATGATAAACGTGGCAGTTGGTCAAAGATCATATAAACACTGACATATAAACAGAGTTGTTCCCAAACCTTTTCTACAGGGTTGAGCCCCCCACATCTCCACGTTGTAAATTCCCAAACTCTAACTTCACTGATTTTTATTGTAAACACTTTATTTAATAACTAATGTCTGTCCCATCATATTGAATAAAAGAAAAAAATAAAACTCAGTGCAGTTTCCTCCCTGTGACACAAATTTAAAAATAATATTGAAACTGTCCTGTTGAGGATCTCAAAAGTCCCTTGCCTCGCCTCCTGGGAGGGCCCAACCCCCACTTTGGGAACCACTGTGTTACGAGAACATTGGCTCGTGTCGGATACATTTGACTGGCTCTGAGATGTGAGTGGTTTCAGATTGACTCAGACTCGGACTAATTCTCTGTGGAAGACAGAATTGGACTTCCGCTCTCTTCGGTCGGATACATTTGACTGGCTCTGAGATCTGAGTGGCTTCAGATTGACTCAGACTCAGACTAATTCTCTGTGGACGACAGAATTGGACTTCCGCTCTCTTCATCCAAGACGCAAAATAAGATGCTAACGTTTGGTGCAGGCTGATTACTGACGACGTCTTAAGACAACTTTTTTTTTCTGTCCTTCTTTACAGCACACGAGTTGTGTTTTTAAATAATTTCAATTTGTATATAAATAAGCAGGATTATTGCTGTTATTGTGCCTGCAATATGTTTTTAAAAATTCATTAAATCCTATTTTTTAAGTCACCTTGAAATACAGTTCCAGTTGCAGTACCACTAGTAGCCACATGCATTTTAGTAGTTGCTGCAGTAAAGAGTTTGATTAACAATTTCCCCTCTTGTGCTGCTGATTAAACAGTGATCAAGACAAACAAAGACACACAGTACTGAGTGTAACTGACTCCGTCTCTCCGTCCTTATGATGATACAGTGACAGTATTAGCTGCCTGCTAACAGAGATCTGAAATCAGGGAAATGAACTTGAAGCTAAAAGTCCCTGCTCGTACAGAACAAGAAATCACATTTTCTATCCCACAGTTCGCAGAACAAGAAATCACATTTTCTATCCCGCAGTTCAACAGAACTGTGTTCCCAAGACTGATCTTCTATTCAAGATCATCGGTGCAGCATATTCAACCTGCCAGACCACAGCATCACGGGGCGGCTGGTCCACAGAAAAGGCTGTCAGACACTCACTCAACCAAGAGGAGTAAAAAAAAAAGGATTTGAAAATATTGGCGAAAAGAACAAGCTGCTGGTCAACAGAGAGGAAAAGAGAGGGTGAGAGGAAGGAAATGTCAGGGCAGAGAGGAGAAAAATGGCAACAATGGCTAAAAATACATGACACTGGGCTTGGTGTAGAAAGACGAACAGAGCAGTGAGGGCCAAAACCCAGAGAGAAATTCTCCAGGGAGAGACGATTCTCAGCGCTTTGTCTGACCAAACCTACAGGACGGAGCTGAACGTTGTACCCTTAAACAGTGGTTTCCATTCGGTAACTTATCGCCCTCTAAGGTGATCAGCAACATTTTCCTTTGTAAAAATGTAAATGTACTGATGGTTATTGAGTCTCACTTGTTGTTGTTTTTAGATGCTTTAATGGTGGGGACTAGAGCCCTGCGTGGGACTATTTTCTGCTGAATTCACTGTATGACCATTACCAGTCAGCAACTGCAACATGTCTTCATGTCTACACTCCCATCCACTGCCACAAGGTGTATGTCCACTCTCGCCTCCTCCCGCAAAACCTGAATTGGTGTCTTTATCTTTAAAGATAAATCTTAAAGATGTCTTTTGTTTGTTTTGGCCTCCGTGCACCAGTCAGGAATAATGTTCTTATTTTGTTGTTTTCATTTCGGCTAAGCTACATCCCAGTCCTGCAGTAGCCGCATTTCCAACTGCCCACTCCTGTGAGATCTAGGTTGGGTCCCACGGGACACCCACGGGACCCAACTGCAACGCAGCCCGTTAGTGGTGACCACACAATATTTTCTCCTTGATCCTCACAATTTTAGAATCCAGTCGCAGGCCCAGATTGGACAGTTTGGTGGGCCTGATTTGGCCCACAGACCGCCGGTTGATAATCACTACATTAACCCACAGAGCTGTGGCTCTGAGGCTAAGTGAACTGAACTACAACTTTCAACACATACATTTTTAGATCTACATTCATCGGCGCAGATTCCGCTGATGCACAGGATGAACACGCTGACTGTTCAGCTCTTATTCAACTGTGGAACAAGTCAAGCACACGTGAGTAGATTCCAGGGTCTCCAGGACAGGCCAGGACACAGCTCGTCTCCACCAACAATGTCCACTCTACAACAACTGTCCACGCACTGACTGAGCAGCGTTAAGCCAACGTGACTCGTGCAGGTTTAGGGACACAGACCAGTCAATGAGCAGCGGATGAGTAAATCCGCTGCAGGCGCGGTGACATCATTCCAGCCTCCACTGTGTAAATCCACTGTTAGCAGTGCATGTCGTGGAATCAGCACTTTCCATTTCCCCCCCGACAGTGAGTGTTTATCTTCAACAATAATAGTCCGGGGTCTTCCAGGGAGCCCACATCACATGGGAGTGGAGGGGCTGAAGGCAACATTTCCACTACAGATACTACTGTAGTACAAAGAACACAGTACTATGAGCAGTGGTGGGAACGAGGTATTTAGATTTTCAATTCAGTCACTTTTGAACATTAAAGAGTTCCTGCTGGAGTTTTATAATTTGGGAAGGATCAGATCATGAGACATTAGTTTACGTTCATTGGGCTAAAAAAAAAAATTTATTTAATCTATTTTTTAAGGTTTCTGTTTAGAGTGAAGATAAAACAATGTAAAAAATGTCTTAAAGTCAAGTGAATTGTGGGTCATGCTTGGTGTCAAACCCATTTTGGTTCAGAGGTCGTATACAGCCTGAGTAGATGTCAAGTACAAGTAGGTTTGTTACAATCATAACATAATTACCTAACAATAACATTACTTGAAATTTCTTTTCCTGCAAATAAGTACAAGAAAATTAGAAAATATTCATATTTAATGAAAATATCAAAATAAAATATTCATATTTAATGAAAATATAAAAATAAGAGTTTGTGCATTTATTTCACTTTCAAAATTCATCAAGCGGGCCGGATTGAATCAGCCAATTGGGCTGGTTTTTGGCCCACGGGCTGCATGTTTGACACCCCTGATTTAAAGAAAGCGACGGCAAAATCAGCTCTCATGGACGTAATTATCTCTCACAACTGGTTGCAATGATGTTGACTCTCAGTGGAGGTCACGTCGTGTTCTTTGACCAGCTGCTGAGGTCTGAGGGAAACTGAACCCAGTTTTTCCACCACAGTCGACTTTGTAACAATTAACCTTTCAGCCGTTTGGAAACTGGTATTACTAAATAACACGTAGTGAAAAAGAAATAGAAAATGTCCTTTTCTCTTTTTATAACTTTATCCTCCCATTAAATATAATTCACTTTATCAACACCACACACTTGGAATGAATATTAAAAAGCCAGAAATGAAGGGCAACTTGACAAAACACCACTGCTGGGTTTTTACACGTGAATTCCCGATTGTGTTGCACGGTGAGAAGGACATCGAGGTACAGTAGATGAGGGTTGGGTTGTTTTTTTGTTTTCTGTTGAGTAACAGTGATGAGACACGGCTCAGTAGAAGCCCTCTAATCACAGAGCCATTAGCAGCTGCCACCCCAGGGGTTGGTTCACTCAATGCTAAAAATAATGAATTAACACCATCAATTACACACAAACCATGAACCATATGTGTCGGAGTGAGTTCTTTTATTCACCGCCCTCGAGCACATGTCACCAGTGCTGGGAGTAGTTTCTCTCTTTGTGACATTCATGTCAAACTCTGACTTCATAACAGTCTCCTTCCTCCTCTCCCTGCAGTCTAAACACTCCTGTCATGCACTGTCTGGGTTTCTTCCTCCTTCCACCGCTCCTAACAGGTACTTCTCCTTGGAGAATGAGCAAGATAATGACAGAGGAGGAAGAAAATAACGGACGGGCAAGATAAGGAGGGAGAGGAGCAGAGACTAGTTCTGCAGAAATGGACGAGTGAAAAAAAAAAAAACATAAAAAAATCCATCCACGACGTGATTTCCTTTGACTTCAGTAGGAAAGGTTGGAAATACTCTGCAGCTCGTTAGCCCCGTGTCAGCGCGGTAATGAGAATCATCCCAAAGCTAATGAACAATAAAGGGGAGTTAGCCATTACAGACATGACAGGCTGCCAAAGCGGGGCTGAAAAGTGAGAGGGTGGGCGACGAGTCGAGAGGGAGAGAGAGAGAGAGAGAGAGAGAGAGAGAGAGAGAGAGAGAGAGAGAGAAAGGAAAGGAAAATGTCATGAAGTGAAGAGGGAGACGAGGAGACAAAGGCAGGAAACCATGGAGGAGAAAAACCAACACTAGCTGGAAAGAACACACTGCAGTCCAGTGAGAAACAGAGAGGGCAAAGGACAAAAGAGCAGCTCAGCAGTTCAGAGGTCAAGACACAGTCAAGTGGCCAAAGGTCATGGGGACAAGTTGCCTGTCTACAGCGCCCAGCCCCATTAGAGGAGCGGGCTAATCCCATCATACCCCAGCCACAGACTGAACGCTCACAGACGGTAATGAGTCCTGATTGCATTAGAGAGCAGCACAGACACTTGATGAGTCTCTGTCTGGGTCCAGTCCAGTCCAGTCGATACGCCGTCGTCTGTCTGACCAGCTGAGGCGATGCATTAGTTTGTGTTGTAGGAGTTTATCCCAGGGCAGCGTCTTTAACAAGGGGTTCATCTTGACACATGATTTAGTCGTAGTCTTTTTAATCAATTCTAACAGTCAGTGGAACAGTTAAAGTTTTGGTCAACAGAATATCAAAATTAATTTTGTTGACTAAAATGTCATTCGGGCTTTGATGCCATTCTGATGGGAAAATATGTTTGATTAAGATTATTATTTTCTATGACTTAATTTGTATTTGTTTAACATATTCAGGGGGTGATCAGTTCACCACATCCTTGGAATCCAGCGTTTCATGGTTATGTCACCATCTCCCATTAAACTTATCAAGATCGTCTTGTTCCGTCATTCCGACATACGGTGTTAAAACAACACAGGAACTAAGTTGTGAGGTGAGTGGACGAATACGTTGTCACACAGCGCTATATGCGTAAAAAGTAAAACTTTCATTTATACAGTATATGTCCTGTAGGACAGACTAATTTTACAAATTGACCAGAGTAACCACTCCAATCTTCTACTCATTATATTACCAGACACATTGTGTAGGACAGACTAATTTTACAAATTGAGTAACCACTCTTATCATCATATTACCACATTAGCTATGATTTAATCCCACCTTCCAGTCAACAAACATGACCTTTTGCCCTCATTTGTTCCTCCTGTTTAATTGACTAACAGATCAATAAATGGTTCATCATTTAACCCCACTAATCCTCCTTAGTTTTCATCTTAGGACAGAAGGTAGCTGAAGAAAGTCTGACAGTGAATTATAAACTGACAATATTCACACGTCCTTTAACCACAATACTGTCCACTCTTTTTTTTTTTTGGAATGTGGTTTCATTTCCAAAATGAAAAAAAAAAAACCCCACAATGATGACTTGGCACAACTCTTCAAAGCTTTGTTAAAACTTAGAACAACAACGTGGACACTTTGTTCCTTACCCCCTTGACTCCTTTCAGATCTCCTTTCAGCAGACTGTCGAGAGGAAAGGTGATGATGTTGTTCATGTTTTGGAACTGGAGGACAGGAAAGAGAAACAATGTTTTCAGAGTGAGGCACTGACGGGTTCTCCAAATACGCACCAAACAGTTCATGTTCTCAGTAACACCGGCATCTTAACGTAACCACTGAGAAACAGAATGTTCAGACCGATGAGCACAGAGATACAGTGGATCCATTATAACACAGTCAGATCCCTTGTGTTGCTAAGCTGCTAATTTCCAACCTGAGCTCGTGGAGATTACACACAGAGATTTAAGTGCCGTTTAAGCAGCAGAGCCACACGTGGATGCTGTGGTTGAACTGGTAGCTTATCTCATCTGACCACATGGTCTAATGAATGATATAACTTCATTGTCAGACAAACGCCTGGCTTATTATTCTGACATCACCGCTGCTGTAGTGGGTTGTGTGTAGTGCTGGCATTAGGCAATTAGTGCAAGTGAATTAACACAGTGTGTGCGGTTGACTGAACTGCAACACATTCATAACAGCCATTATGGTAAAACGTTGCAATGTCATAATGTGCAGCGGTTTAACTCATCCACTGGGCTGATACTTTCACTACAGTGTGTTAATGTGCAGCGGTTTAACTCATCCACTTTCACCACAGTGTGATATTACATCAAACATCGACTGAATCAATGTTTGACAGACACAAACATTTAGGGTTAACAGAAAATTATTCTTAAAAATAGAAAACTTCCAGCAGTCCTTTTTTTCCATAAGCAAAAGTACAAGGATACCCTGAGGTCAAAGTGTTAATGAAGCAGGTTGGCTCCACCGGTGGTTCCCAACGACATCACAAATCTCTCACGACACTAGAGGCATTTTTTCTTTCTAGAAGTTTCCAGTTTTCTAGTTTTATACTGTGTTACAAATACAGAGTGGCCAGATTAGTGCACAGAGGGATTTTTTATATGCTGCATTTTATTTAAACTCGATTTATACGAACGGGTGAAATAATTAAACAAGTACTTTTTGTACTTTTTGTATAAAATACTAAACATTTCAGTCAAGCCCATTTGAATTCCAGGTGACTTCATGTGGGGTCGCAACCCAGAGGTTGAAGAACACTGGGCTAGACCAGACATGGGCAAACTAAGGCCCGGGGGCCAGATGCGGCCTGTTCATCTTTTTAATCTAGCCCGCCAAACTTTTCCAAATTATATAATTTATTTATATCCCAGTGTAGCCCACACCTGTCATGGCAGCTAAGAATAGTAAAACAGAGAGAACTATTAATAGAATAGAATAGAATAATGTTCTAACCTGGGAGGAAAAAAATGAAAAAACATTAGGATTTTATCTTACATCTAATAGGGTGCCTGTTATTTAAAAAAAAAAAGGTGTGAAGATGATACAGATGTGAAGGTCAGCATCTGAATCAAACAGATCTTAGGATCTTAGATCTTAGGTTGTCAATGTTTTCCTTTTCCCTGTTTTGGTCTTGATAACAAACCCATCTTAGCAGGGTTGGACCAGGCTGGATGAGATCCAGCTCATACAGTATCTGTTGCTGAAGGATCTCTGGCTGCTTCACTGGAAACCCAAGGCTGGCAGCTACGTGTGTCTTTGTTAGAGAACTCACACACACACACACAAGGACTCAGGGGAAGGACGGCAATTAGAGACAGGATGGAAATCTTTCTTTGTCCCCTAGGATTTCATGCACAGGTTAGAAAACACACAAATACACCAGTGCAGCACACTCACCAGGTTTTTGAAAAGTGCCGTGAGCTCCTTGGTGAAGACAGAAAACTTGAGGAAGGCCGAGCCCAGATCGGGATCATCTCTGTACACACAGTTCTCTCCAAATTTCTCCAGGGCCTGAGTGTACTGTTCTTCGTTCTCCACGTGGGCTGAGAGAAGACAAACACAGGTCGGCCAAAAAAAAGAGTCAGACCACTCTGGATGTTGCAAGACAAAAATCAATAGCAGTGAATTAATAATGAATGAAAACCTTCAAAAAGAACAACACTCTGCCTTTTAGTCTGATTGATCATCTGTGATCGATCCTGAAGCCTGAATCAAAGCTCATTGCTGAGGTATTTTCATAACCCTTATAACTAAATTATTTCATAATTAAATATTATGAAATTGATTTTTTTTTACAGCAGCAACTATAAATGAAAGTCCAACCATGTTTACATTTTATTTATTTATTTTTTTAAATAATAAAAATGGATCTGGGATTAATCTTTTCCTAAATTAGGGACAAACCACTGATTAACTTAGAGTTGATAAAGTGTTAATTAAGGCTGTCTAATCTGTTATGGCGCTGACCCTGGGTCAGTGGTGAGGCAAACAGGATTAATATTTTATGGAACAGTCTAGTCAGAAATATCGAATTTGAACAGAGTGCAATGCCTTTTTTTTAAAAAATTAACGAGAACTTAAAAAACTCAAAATAATCGAGCAAAACTGGAATTTGAGAATTAATAGGTAAATTCAAAAATTGATTTAGACTACTGCATATCACCCATCCAATAAAATGTGGTATAGACTCTCTATTATAGACTTTTCTGGTGGGCCACATAAAATGATAAGGCGGGTCCGATGTGGCCCGCGGGCCTCCAGTTTACCCATAGTGCCCCAGATAATTCCAATTCACACCAGAGCATGTGGCTGATAACATGTAAAGCCATTGGGACAGTAGTGCAGGTAGGGATGAGCATAGGGACGGTTGCTATGGCAACTTTCACTGGGATGTGACGGCAGCAGAGGGGGCTTGTCAAATGGTAATGGGGACGGAGCAAGACAAAAAAAAGACAGGGAGAGACAGAGAGAGGAGTGGGTAAAAATATGAAGCAGAGACTCATGCTGCAACTTCCTGAGTCAGCTCTTTATTCCAGACACTCGTGCGCTCACGGGTTCACAAAGCTGGATAAGATGACGTCTCAGCAGCAGAGGTATCCATCTTGTTATTAAAAGGAGAACCTGGCAGGTCTCTGAGTCACCACCTGTAGATCCCCTCACATCAGACGAATCTAATTCAAGCCCAGAAATATCAACTGATGGTAAAGATTGATGAAACGGCTTCTTTGAACATTTACGAGACAGACAAGAAGAGACGAAGAGAGGAAGACTGCAGATGTTGCTGGAGGGAGCAGCGTTTTTTTTCCTGACAGAACTGGACGAACAAGATGAAGAACATTATTAAAATGCGTGTCCTCGTGTGATTTTAAATATTAAATACTGTTGAAAAACAGATCAGATCACAAGATATACAATACACTGCCATGCTATAGTCACTGAGACGTGTTGAGCTTAACATCAAGTTACTAAAACTGGAACAGAGGGATCTACATTTGTTATCCCTAAACAAGCCATTGCAGGATGTGTTTGGATGAACAAATATTCAAAGTCAAATATTTACCTGCAAATACTGTATAAGCGGTCCCTATACAATCAACTAGAGCGGGGTGTCAAACATACGGCTCGTGGGCCAAAACCGGCCCGCTGGGGGGTGCAATCCGGCCCGACTTATGAATTTTGAAAGTGGAAAAATGCACGCACACCTCATGTTGGTGATGTTTTTCAAAATATATTTAATTGAATATGGATATTTCCTAATATACTAGTTTAAATGCAACACAAAGATTAACCAAAGCCACGAATATTTGCATGTTAACTATTAACAAAAAAAAAATCAATCCAGTGCCGTAGAATATCGATACAGTACGGTGAAAGAAAATATTGTGATATTTCAGTGTATCAACATTTTCTTACACTCCTTGTGTTTTGCCTCTCGATAATATGTTCGCCGCATCGAGACCTTCTTAAACAATTACACTCCTTGTGTTTTGCCTCTCGATGTTCCCCGCACCGAGACCTTTTTAAACAGATCAATAACATGAGGACGATGTGTTACTGCAGCAGCAAAGCTGTGGCTGACACTGTTCTGAAGGACAGTGAAAGACAACAACAGAACTTTGTTGACACTAAATGACCTCACATCATTAAAACACTGACACATACAGTACATGTTCATGTTTTACTGCAGCGGCTGAAGTCACTGACCCACTTTAACTCAAACGAACACATAAATACATCAAATGTGATCTAACTTCATAGTTAAAGACGAGCAACATTTAAAGGGTTCAATTAACCTCTATGTTTACTACACACATAATGATCCAGATATGGCACCAAACTTTATACTAAGCATTAATAAATAATTCATGTGTGGATTAGGACAACAAAGAAAAAACACAAAACCGTTGTCACTGAGTATTTTAACATGAGCTCAGATAAAAATCAAAAGAAATAATAATAGACCATTTTCTGACACCTCGCTCACGACCCTAACCCCTCCTCTCCCCCCACTCCCACCCACCCTTACCCACAGTCTATGGTTTACACATAAACTCTCTCCACTTGCTGTGAACTAAACTCTGTTGTTTTTCAAGTGGCACATGAGCTCTTCGCTCTTCGACTCAACCTTCCCTCCGGGCTGCTTACAGACTACATGCATATTTGTTGTAACACGACCTCAGCCCATCACATGTGCAGTCTGCAGCACTGAACCACAAAAGTGCCGCGAGGCACGTCGGGAACAAGGGGACCAAAAGTGAGCCTGGAGGACAAACCCGGTCCTTTTATCTGCTCTCCGTGGTCTGTCCTTATATCATATGTTGTCTAAATATTTACAACAGATAAAGCAGGCGTTCAGACGACTGTGGTGAAGCCACGTGGGAGAGGCATTGTTCAAACATGTCTTTTATTAACACACCACTTCCTCTGCTATATGACAACTCTGAGGTTTGTGGTGGTTTTTATATCCTTCTGACCTTCTTACCTTCTGAGAGAGTCAAGGTCGAGCATTTTTCCCCTCATTGAAATAGAATACAAATTATTAACATCACGCAAAATAGGAAAATTGTTACAGATAAATTTAATTGAAGTGAGAGAAGTAAAATTACATTTTACCTTTGCGTACAACATATCCAGTACACATTAGCACAGACCTAAACATGAGGCGCTCTGGTGGGCCACACAAAATGAATGCCAGATTCGGCCCACGGGCCTCGAGTTTGACACATTCAAACACAGAGACCAATCAAACATTCCTGAGGAATACTGTGGAAATTCTCCTTTCTATCACACACGCACATACGCACACACACACACACACTGTAATCACCAGGTAGCAGACCAACCTCTGCTTCCTCTCAGTGTCTCTCCCACAGTCACCAACACACACACACACACATACATACACAGCCCATGTGAGCCTGAGCCTATCAGTCTTGGTCTGCTGACACTCTGACTCCGGCTATCATAATGTCCGGCTGACCTTTAACCTTTTGTTATCTCCACGGCGACTCTGAGAAAATAAAGATACTGATACATCGAAGAAATGACAGATTGTCTTTATTTAATAAAGAACAGAAACTGCTGGTAAATCTTGACGATGTCCCGACTTTGACTGACCCACCATCTCAGGTCATGTGGCCCAGCAGAGCTAAACATGCATGTGGATGTTTTAAATAATAATAACTCTATGGCACTGATTATCAACTGTTGGCCCACGGGCCAAATCCTGCCCGCCCGACCTATCCAATCCAGCCACGACTGGATTCCAACATCGACATCAAATAATAATATTAGACAAAAATTTGATTTTTTTTTTCAGTTTCTCTGAGTGTCCGGCCCCCTAGGGGTCAGTCCAGAAATATCCTGGCCCTCAAACAAATACATATAGTTGGTGACCCCTGGTCTATTGTATGGAGTCTATACTGATGTTTACTGGATCGGTTGACTACAGTGGTCAGATTCTGCATGTGTGCACTACGTGGCAATTTTTTTCATTTGTGTTGAAAAAAAAAAGTAGTCTGTTCAAATTCAATTTTTCTGTTCTCATCATCAATCATTCTCTGCACTAGACTGTAAAATTCTGTTTGGTTTCCAACATGGACTGTTTTCACATCCGATTAAGTTTGACAGCCCTGGTCCAAGGTGACTAATTTCTCTGACACCAGTTCTGTGTGTTTACTCGTTTATTTTCCACACTCCCCTCAGTGCTGTTCTGTTAGATGTTTATCCATAAAAAGGTTTTGGGATATGTGGCAGCCAATCACTGAGGCTGAAGGGTGCAACAGCAGATACAAAAATGTTCACTTGTCTGCTCCGAGGTCTGTATTCAGCAGCTTTGGCAGCTCTGTTCTGCCTTCAGGACTTTGCCACTAGTTTATTCATCAAAACCCTGCAGCTGACAGCCTGACGGGTGTCTGCAGCCACTCAGGACTCTCTGGCTCACTGGTAAATCTTGCTCTCCATCTCTTTCTCCTCCTCCAATCATCTGTCTTTTACACTATTATGACCACAAACTGGTAATAAAAAAGATTTTATTACAGAGTCACAGTCCGGTGCAGTTTTTTTTTTCAGTATTGTAATTAGAACTTTAATATTACCCACAAACTCCTGTCACAGTCCGGTGCAGCTTCTCCTCTCCTCTCTTCTACTCTCCTCTCCTCTCCTCTCCTCTCCTCTCCATTTCCTGCTATAGTATCCAAAAATATCCCCACAGGGTTTGAAGAATGACAGCCAATGACACCATGAGCACATTGTCTGTGCAGTCAGCGTCCAGGCTCCCCGTTGTGTGCATCATTATTCAGGCTTCAACTCTGCCTGCTCCACAGAGAAAAGGAAAAGAACAGCCTCTGACTTTAGGTTTCACTTTCTCAACACGCAGGATTTTATTTAGCAAAACGAGTTTCAGAAAATCCACCTCTACAGCCTGTGTGTTTTGTTACTGGTTTGAGCACGTGTCAAACTCAAGGCCCGCGGGCCGAAATCTGACTCCTCACGTCAATTTATGCGGCCCACCAGAGCATAACGTGCATCTGTACTAATGTGTACTAGACAAGGTAATTTGTCTAGTTAATTTATCTCATTTTGAGATTTTACATTTTATGTATAACTATATTCTTATTTTGCTTTATGTTGATATTTTCAATTTAATGTATTATTTACTTTAATGAGGAAAAAGTCTGTTGAAATTTTTAATTTCTGTTGAGTTTTTATAATAATAAAAAACTCAATCACATTACAGAAATTTATATATGTATTGTCTGATAAAAAACTCAATCACATTACAGAAATATATGTATTGTCTATTATAATACTGCCTATTAAACTACATGTTAAACATAATACACTCATAACTGACGTGCGATAAAGTCCCTGTCTCTTCCTGCAGACGTCCAAGGTCACTCAGAAGTTCCGTTCAGAAAACAGAATAAAAATTCCCATGCGTTAAGACTGAAAGAATCTGCCTGAGTTTTAATGCTATCATCTTAGAGCACGTGTAACTATTGACCTTGGCAGGGTTATTTCCACAAGAGGTTCTGTTTATACAGTAAACACCAACGGAAATTTAGACCGGCTCAGGTCACTTCCTCCCAGACTACAGTTGATTATAATAACAGCTTTCAGCCGTGTGAGACTTATCTCAAACAAGTGTAACCTGCAGGACCGTGTGCGGACATTTAAATGAAGGCCATGTGACAAAGGGGGCATTCATTTGGCAGCCGAACACTGTGAGAAAACCAAACAGGTTCACCTGATACACAAACGGCAGCAAACGATGGCATCCTGAGATTTTATGGCCACAAAAGAGGCAAA